ATGTTGCGCAAATGTCCAATCATAACATATTATTCAATTTCATGTGATCTACCAATCACGAGAAAGTTATCCTATATAGGATACCCCACAAGATCGTGATATGCAAATCCTAACAATACTCGATAACGCTACCATTACATACAGCCATGTGATTAAGTTTTGCAGAATTGTATTTTCACATTTTCAAAAATTTATTTATATCAAGTTAACTGCCACATACACATATTTTTTAGTGTACACAAACACTCGCAAGCATAACATTAATAGGATTTATCATTTACTAACACTGTCTTATTCCTGTCTAATTTCAGATGTCTAAGTTGATTTACCACCGAGAACGACTACTAACTCCAGAATTATATCCGCGTCCACCGCCGCCACCACCACCATTATTATATCTTGAGCGACCTATATATTTATAAATTGAAATACAATATCATGTTAAAATTTATTTATTTATATAATGTTCGGGAATGATGCTGAAATCTTGACCTGAATTTTTTTGACCTATTTCAATATAATGGGTACATTGTTATTTTATAGAATTAAGTAGAATTTAAGATTAGATTGGTTAACAAAAAGAGTATAGTAGATCTAATATGTCTAAATTGGGTCTCCAGAATTTGAGAAACAACCAATTTCAGCATAGTCCCAACATATAACTTAATTAATACGATAAATTAATTACCTGCAGTAGTACTCGCAGAAGCGATCTTCATAAACTCTAAAAGTTTTGGATCAACCTCCTGATTGGCTTCACGTAATATGTTCACTAAATCTTTAGCCTGTTTAGCATTTTCCATTGTGAAAAACGTTATAGCAGCGCCTTTGGCACCACCACGCCCTGTTCTCCCAATACGATGAACATAATCCTAATGGAAAAAAGGAAAAAAAATATATTACTACAGATTACCTATATACAGTATATATAAATGTAAACCCTAATTACCTCAACATTAGTCGGGAAGTCATAATTAATGACGAGCTTAACATCCTTAACATCTGGAGTCCAAAAAATGTTTGTGAGCAAATCAGTCAAATCACATATGCCGGCCACATTGCTGAGTACTTATCCAAAGTCATATGTCGCGATGCACACAACGGGCAATTTTAAGTTATGGCAGATAATGTGCACCATTAAAAAAACGACTAGACAATCAGACAAGAAACACAAAACAAAAACAAAATAAAAAAATAAAAATAAAAAAAGGATATGTAAGTCCCAATGCCAAATCGTTGAGCAGCGGCAAGCAAACAAAGTATCAAGATGACAGCACGATATGAAGCTTCTTTAAACAAAAAAGACGGTATCCGTGATGATTCTACTAGAGTTGAAAGCACCTCAAAACCACCTGAGCTAGACTAGGTTATCATAAGTTTCTATCAGTGATCATTTCTTCTATCAAACTAGTTTATGGCAGGCCGTCGAAAGATTACGTGATGAAACGTAACAATTTTGAATCTGCCAGAGCTCAGTCCAAATGCCAAGGTAATAGACAAAATCCACGATCCTAGTGGCAACCTCCGGCCACATGATTTTTTTTTCGCGCATTAACATTTTTCTTTTATTTTTTTATTTTTTTTTTATCAACGTTCTTCTTTTTTTGTTTGATCAACATTCTTCTTTTTTTTTTTTTTTTGTCTGTTTGTTGCCTTTTTTAAAAAAAATATATGTATACTTGTTGCCCGCGGCTACTGCTGGCATTTTTTAGGGGGACCTACACAACACATACACGCAGGGGGCAAGAGCATGTTATGAAATCAAAACGGATTAACAAGAGGTAGCAGAATAACACATTACCGATTCCTCGAGAAGCAACGTCAGTAGCAACCATTATCGGTGATTTACCACTTCTAAATTCGCTTAAAACCCAATCACGCTCAGTTTGCGCTTTGTCACCGTGAATTGCAAGCGCTGGCCAACCATCTTGACGTAAATATTTTGTAATCTCATCTGCTGTACGTTTGGTGCCAGTAAAAATTAGTGTTTTATTATCTTTTTGATCCATAATACGTTCGAGGTGTTTGACTAACCTATAATGACAAAGAAAATAAAGTAATACGTTTAATAAGTAAATTGAAAGTACAAAGATATCGATCTTACGTTAGGATAAATTTCAAGAAATAAAATCTTACTTATTTCGTTTTTCATGCTCGGTACAAATCTCAACAGTTTGAGCAATGTTATGACTTGCCGACAAATCTAAAGAACCGATATTTACTTGAATGAAATCATGAAGATAATCTTCTGCGAGGCGCTTGACTTCTTTCGGCCAAGTAGCACTCCACATAAGGGTTTGTCTATCAGGTCTGATTTGCTCAACGATCTTTCGAATTTGTGGTTCAAATCCCATATCCAGCATACGATCAGCTTCATCCAACACAAGATATGTCACCCTACGAAGATTGGTTCGTCTTGATTCTAACATATCGATTAATCGGCCAGGTGTAGCAATACAAATCTCGACGCCATGAGAAAGTTCACGCGCTTGAGGACCTTTAGGAACACCACCATAAACGCAGGTATTTTTGATCTTCGATGATCTGCCGAATTTCGTGCATTCTTGTTGGATTTGCACAGCTAATTCACGTGTTGGCGCAAGAATAAGAACAATAGGTCCATCACCGGGTTGAAGAAAGGGTTGCGCATTTATATGGACAATAGCAGGCAAGCAGTAAGCCAAGGTCTTCCCAGATCCAGTTTCAGCAATACCCACTACATCACGACCAGAAAGTGCCATTGGCCACCCCTGTGATTGGATTGGTGTTGGAGCGGTAAAACCTAGGTCGAGAATTTCGTTTAAGACGTAGGCTATTAAACAAAAACGGTTAGAATAATGAATGTTATGTAATGAATAAAATATCAAAAAATTTTATATATACCTGGAAAATTGGCTTCTTCAAATGTTTCTACTGGTTTTGGGATATCAAGGCCAAAGACTTTCATTTCGTGTTTTTTTCGGTATTCGTCTACTTCTGCTTGAGAGCGTGAGATGACATTGATATGTTCGCGATAGAAGTTCTTTTCAAACTTTGGAAGTTTCGAGAAATCCCAATCCTGTTTTGTCAAACCTGATCCAAGATTTGACATACGATCATTTTGGTGCGTTGAATTACCACTAGGTCTATAACTAGAACTGGCATAACGCTCACCACTACTCCCATATTTATCATATCCAGGGCTGCGTTCTCTATAATGCGAACTACCACGAGAATCATATCTAGAAAATTTTTTTTTTAAAAAAAAAAAGACGTTAATATAACTGATCTTAAATAAAAAACATTAGTTGTTATGTATCTCTTTTTTTTTTTTGTTGTTATTTTTGACAATGCATAAAGTTTGATATTTTTTTGACGTTTTTTTTCATGATATATTATTAAATTATAACAATTAACAAGTTTCATAGAGTAACTTACTCCTTTCGATCTCTTCGACTGCGGTCATCATAAGAACGATCTACTCCACGGTCATTACCATAACGTGAGGACGAAGTATAAGATGAGCCATAATTTGATGAGTTTTTATATGAGGAGCTACCATTTCCATAAGATGACGATGGCGGAGGCGCACTACCGCTGCTGTAGGTTGTGGATGTGGTAGCAGGTGCGCTATAGATCGTTCCTGGTGGAGCGGGGACTCCTGGAGCACCATAATTTGTGTAAGACATATTTCTCTATGATTATAATAAACACGGTAAAAAAAAATTTAGGGAAAAAAAATATATTATTGAGCTTTAAATAATTTTTTCTTAAACTAGTACAGCCAATCACAATGCAATGATATTAGGAATTATCGAACACGTCATTATAGAATAAACCTTATTATTCATCGGTTGGCTCAATGTCACAAGAAGCTAAAAGTTAATGTTTTGCTATTGATATATACAAAGTCAGTACACTATTATCTTTTTATCTTTAGTTTATTACAGTACCGTTTGCACTGCTCAGAACATACCCATAAAATAACATTCCCCAAGATCCGGTGTTATTACCATACATATTAGCCAAGTTTTTTAAACAATGGAGTATAACTATATTAGTTTATTACTTTTTTCATGTAAATTGTATCCAAATATGGTGCTCGGTTCTATATAAAGTATGGATACTATTTAAAAATGGTTTTGAATAAGACTCTAGCTACTATAAGCAAAACGATAAATTAATTTCTTCTACAGTGCAGGACTCCTTAATTCAGCAAATAAAATATATAATATTTATGTTTATAAATAAAAAAAACTAAAATAGTTATAACCAAATCTTTTCATAGAATAGTAAAATCGAACTTAAAGAACAAACCTATGAAGTTTATTTTTTAAATTAATTAGTATTTGATAGAGTTATTTCTTTCTAAATTTAATTAATTCTATATACAGTATTAATTAAATTAAAAATTTGGCCACTTAATTTTGGCCAAAATTGCTAATAATTTTTTAATTTTTATTAATAAATTTTTTATTGAAATTTATATAAAAACTTATTATTAGAAAAGATATAAATAAACTAATCTCTCTTTCGCTTCTTCCCACCTAGGGTTGGTAAAGGTTCTATGTTTGAAACCTAAGACTAGTTTTTGGAATCTAGTTTTTAAAAACCAGGTTCCAATTTTGAAACCTAGATTTTTAGGTTTATAGTAGGTTTTTAGGTTTGTTTTTGAAATCATTTAATGTAATAAATATAATAACATAATAAATAAAAGATGACTAACTAAAGAGCCAATTAATAATATCAATACAAAAATATAAATAAATTTTATATTTCTAATTATATTTTAAAGAAACTAGGTTCAGAAACCAGGTTTTAAAACCTTTTAAAAACCAGGTTCTTAGGTTTTTGAAATGGAACCTAAAGGTTCCAAACCAAAAACCGAACCTAAACCAACCTAACCATCCCTATTCCCACCCACTTACTCTCACTCTTATCATCTTTCTCTTTCTAATATGTATTCATATTATCCAATTATATTAACTTATTTTTGTATAATATGTCTCAAAATTTGGCCGTTATATTTATGACTTGTTGATTTAAGGAGTCCTGCACTGTATAATGATACTTGCATTATCATCTTATTGCATCTACTATTTTTTTTTTACTGATATCAATTAAAATTTCATCTATCAAATATATTGTAGATAGAACAGGTTTTAATAAATGTTAAAATATGTATACAGTATATACATTGCAATTCTCTAGCATTTAATAATCTTAAAAGTTTTAATTTTACTTTAACTCAAAGCAATTATATGATTGGTTAAAATGATTTTTTAAAAACATGAGTATTTACAAATTTGCTGTTACACAAATATTGCTTTGTGATTAATTTGCAAATCTCTATGTTTCACGTCTTTGTCCCAAGTATCTAACTACAAAAAATTGTCTTACAGCTTTTAATTAAAAATGCAAAAAATCTTTGCTTAAAATTTCTTTGATCTTTTAAAAAATCATTTTAACCAGTCATATATAACAATTGCTTTTGGTTAGAATAGTTTTACAAAGGTTGTGAAGACAAAAAATACATCAATTTTTCTTGAAATATTTGAGATTAAAGATTAAAACTTTAAATCAAAATTTAAATGATTGTTTTGTATAAATTTACACATAAAGTTCGAGTGTGTCAACTCATTTTTTTTCTTATTTCCAGACGTCATTGCCCCAGTTATTTTTCTCTAACGAGGTGCTAAGATAACTCGATTGATTTATTGCAAGAGGGTCATCAATGTCATTGTTATTTTCGATTTCTTGTTGATTAACTATACTTATCGGCAATGTGCGAGGTACATCTCTAGGTACTATTGGTTCTGGAATAAATGGGTCTCTTGCTAATATGGATTCATATGGTTGCATTATTGATGTTAAAGGTGGTCCATGAGGTGATGTTGTAATCGAATTAGCAATGCTCTCTAATCTTTTTCCCTTTCCATCTTTTACTTCTCTAACAAGATCCACACAACCATCTCGGAAAGGTGAAACATTAGAACTACTGAAATGTTGTTGTTTACTTTCAGATCCAACATTGTTATCATCATCATCATCATCATCATTTCCAATTTCAAAATGAATATTTTTGGCTTTACCCTTTCCTTTTAGTCTTAATCTCCTTTTGGACATGGTTCTCTTTCTTTGTGGTTTCGGAGGTGGTGGATGCTGGTACTTATACCGATTCGAATCAATTACAGGAAAGTTATAATCCCCATATTCCCCCAATTTCCTACTGTGGTCATACATATGTTCCACTTCATCATTCGGATCAGGGTCATGAAAATTTAAACTATTTCTATCATCATCCATTTGCCTAGAAAGCAAAGGTGTATTAGAATTTGGGCCAGGAAGCCAATATTTACCAGCGCCACCACCAGTAAATCGTAATCCAGCCATTATCCGCGCTGTTCTGCTTGGACCAGTATGTGCCATCCCTTCAGCCGGTTCAAAGGTTCTATAGTTAAATCGTGAACCTCTAATCGTTTCTAATGTATCCTCGATCACATCTCTAAATCCCATACAATCTTTGAAAGCATATTTAATAGGCATACGGCCTGACCGGTAACTAGGGTCGACATAGTCCTTGTATGAAAAAGCGTACCTGCGATTTTACAAATACTAAACAATATTATTAAATCGTTTACAGTATGTCATATCATTAAGTATAACATACCCATGTGCAAATGCAGCAATCAACATTTCAAAAGTTATCAGAAAGTCTTGAATTGAAACTGATATGTTTTGCGCTGAATTTGATTCGGCTATAAAAAGAACATTAATAATTAGAATCATTTTTATAATTTGTTCCGGACATAAAATAATTAAGTGAAACCGTACTGTCACTAATAATTCCAAGATACACAAGTATAGAAAGTGCAAACCCTTGCCAAAAAGAAAAGAATATCACAGCTTTTACGCAAAGAAATTTCGGTATAGGTCTATTATATTTGACAATTATTAATCAATATAATAACTAATATAGTATTTAAAAACAAAAAATAGACACCTATGACTCACCGATATGGCTTTAGATCTTCTTTAGTACAAACGTAAAAAATGATCAAACAGTAAAGGCATAGGAAGCAGCTAACGTTATATATCAGAGATATCCATATATAACCATTTGTAAATTCAATAAGACCTTCGTCATATACATTTGACCACTTTAGAATCATAGTGCTAATAGCTAACACCGGTTTTATATATACATATTGAAGAATACCACGCTTCAAAAAGAGGAACGTATAAGGATCACCAACATCCATTTCTTTGAAAAAAAGATTGACAGGAAAAAGATGTGAAGTTGGTGGGCGACCATGTAGTAGGGTTAAGAGAGCTCGTTCTCCGCCAATATAATTTACTAAAAGATTAAAAAAGCAATAGATCACAAATGCCTATAGATTGATAAAACGTAATTAATACGTAATACTTAATGTCAAACCAAATTTTGGATCAAGCTGGTTGTGGTCCTTACTTCATACATATCCCTTAAACAATCAACATAGAAGGCAGCATTTGTTGAGGTCAAGCTAATCCAAGAAGAAACAGCGTAAATTGGTACCCTATTAACGTTTATGTATTACAGCATAGGAATTAATAAAAAAAACACGTCGCATTACATAAAATTAACATGTCTTATTATCTCACATTAATATAATTCGCACCACATATCGCTGTATTAGCTAATGGAATACGAAAGAAAGAAAAGTCAATGCACACAAACGAAAAGAGCGCCAGGTTAGATACGAACAGAACTAAGAACACAAATACATACCGGTTTTTTGTAATGTTTGAGGTGAGACCATACAGAAAACGCTGACAAAAGAGTGGCCGTTATAGCAAAGAAACCAGCAACCGCCCTAATGGTAGCACTACTCCTAAAGTTATCTGAAGATCCACCACCCGTATCATAGCCTTCTTGTGATAGCGGTGTTAGTGTCTCGTTAAAAGTGTATGACATTAGCAACTAAAATTCCTACAGTACAAATGTAGTATTTATTTACTACGGAAATAAATGTTCAAAAATTTAAACGAGATTTATAGCTACAAAAGGTACAAATCATGACATTATACTTTGGAGAATCGAACTTGGTTACATTGATTGGCCATTTATTATGTGCGTATACTATATTTCGAACCCAGTCAATGTGTGCATAATTCTATTTTTGGCGCAGCCTGCTCAACAGAATAGGAACTGGAAGCTTCTAATCAATTGAAATTCTAACAATATTGTGGATAATTTGAACATTTTATTTTAACAAACTGAGTAAATGCATAGCATTGTGCTACTACTAATTTGCATATAATAATTCATACAAGAAGATTCAGGTCGGAATACAGTTTGGCCAATTTTGTCCAAGATCACTAAAAATTGTACTAATGGAGTTGTAGTCCATTCATACGGGAACGTTGTTGTTACACGACTGATTTTACACACGGTGTGAAGCACATAAAAAAATTATTTTACAATACTTGATCGGACTTGATCAGTCAACTAGTACATGTTACGATTATAATCCAACATCATTTTTTAATAATAAAAAATGGTGTTGGATTATAATCATAACATGTACTAGTTGACTGATCAAGTCCGATCAAGTATTGTAAAATAATTTTTTTATGTGCTTCACACCGTGTGTAAAATCAGCCGTGTAACAACAACGTTCCCTCCTGTTATTCATACATAATTCTGCTGTCAGACTTGACCGGCTAGTATAACCGGAGTAAATTCACATGTAAATGATATACAAATGTTGATTTGCATTAATAAGCAAAAATAATCTGCCCCAATTAAAATTTTAGGTTAGAGTGCCGTTTATTACGTAATTTTTTTAAAAAAAGAGGGGTTTGTAGTTTATCACGTCTATATTTGTATATAAGGCATTAAATTTTTTTTTTTTATTAAGGCACCGTCATCTGTGGCAGATTTTATTGGGTGATAAAATCTCTGAGGTACAACATATGTAACGATTTATACTGTATATACAATTTTTGGTTATTTAATTTAAATAGTTTATTTAAAGGTTTTATACTCTAACTTGCTCTCTTGGTTAAATTACCATATCTCAAAAACATATTAAATAATTAAAGTTAGGGTTTTAAGTAAAAATATTTAAACCTTTCAAAAGCTTTATGTATCCCTTAAATTGTTTCACAGCCAAATTTGTTTGCAAACTTTTTTAAATTTTAAAATTTTTTAATAAAATTTTAAATATTGATTTTAGCTAAGTAAAATATTTAATTTGAGATTTGTTTTATTAGCTTTGTTAAGAAAATTTTTTAAAATTATTAAAAAACTTTA